AAGGTGTGTATTTCTCAGTCAGTCGGCTGCTGTATCATCTGGCAAGACTCTACCCCGACTTGGTGATATCAGAGCTGCTGAACACTGACCAGCCCCTTCCCCAGTACGTCTTTCAGACACTTGGCGCGGTCACTACCCGGGCCAATATGACCACAGCTGGCATTATGATATTGCTGTCTGCCCTGAACTCTCAGATGCCGGATGTGATAAACAATGAAACACAGAAAGATTGCTGCTGGATTATTATGAACTGTATACTGACCATTTCTACCAGACCGCAGAAGGACCAGCGAGTGATTGAGCACCATCTGATGACAAGCCTAAATATCCTATACAAGTGGCGGAATGCTTGCTGTGATCACGGGGTGGTAGAGACAATAAAAAAGGCCATTGTCCTACTGAGTTCATTCCTGCAGATTGACGCTCAGGATCTGAAAGACCAGACAGAGATCCTGGCAGCAGAGAACCTAGCTAAAATGCAGATATGGATGAAGTCTGGAAACCCATACTTCGATCCAGAGATTCTGTTACTGAATGAAAGTCGCCACAAGCAGTTAGTTAAAGAATATGCTCAGGCCCAGACATGGAATTGCCAAAATCTGTTCTTCCTCGTGGAACCTTTACTTCAGTCCCCAGTGGCATATAACAAACTGACGGCACTCACTCTCTTATCGGAGTTCATGACCTGCCCATATGGTCTAAGCAGAAAACAAATAGAAGGCATCATTGAGGGAATACTGGACATGGACCAAGCAGGGGATGTTAAAACCCATTCCCGCATAGTAGACTGCATCAGGGCAGCAGTTCTGTTCCATCCGAAGCAAGCCAGGAAGTACAAATACCAACTAGCACATTTCCTCTTTCAGGCAATCAGCGAGGACGGTACAGAATTATTAGGCAATTGCATGGAAACACTGATCAACATGTTTTCATTTTTTAAAGGCACCATCATATCACTGAAGACCGTGATGGAAATCGGTACCTTATTCCACCACGAAAATAGGGAAATACAACTATTAACTACAAGGTTGTTTGGGGAAGCTGCAAAACGATGCCGATCCTACCCTCTGAGTAAGATCTCAACAGAAGTTAAAGAAAACTTGCTGAGTGTCATCCTGCAACTGCACAGCAGCGACCCCAGAGCGTCAGCGGCAGCAATGCAGTGTGCCCGCCAGTGCCTCCCTCACCTGTGCTGGAGGCCAAGACTGGCTGGGGTGGAGAACATTGAGGGGATCTACCTGGTCCTGGCACAGAAAGACCTTCTGAAGCCATTGCTTTTTCAAGCGATCAAAAGATTAACACAAGAGGCTGATGGAGAGGCAATCCTTAAACACCTCTGTGTTCTAAAAGACTACCTGTCAGACAATGCTATGACCCAGACAGATATCAAAACTGTTTGGGAAGACCTGAAGAGAGGAGTGGATGATCCGAATCCCTCGATAAAACAGACAGCGAGAGATGCAGCCGCCATAATTAGAGATTCTCTTTTATTCTAACGGTGAGTAAACATACACTCTTCATATACACTATATTGCCAAAAGTATTGGGACACCCCTCCAAATCATTGCATTCAGGTGTTCCGTGACATTTCCTAGCTACTAAATATTCCACAGTTACCTGTTAGTTGTATTAAAACAGAGTGCAAGCAACTGGGAACAACAGCAACTCAGCCAGGAAGTGATAGGCCAGGTAACATGACAGAGCGTATAGCGGCAAAGGGCGGAGCTAACCCAATACTGAACCCTACGGACTAAGACTGGGATGACATTAAAGTTCATGTGCGTGTAAAGGCGTCCCAATACTTTTGGCAATATAGTGTATCTTATACTATTCTCAGTAAGTTTTCAGTTTGCCAACATTATCCTATAATTAAAGTTTCAATATCAAGCGGACTGACGTTTTAAATCCTTATTCCGTGGATAGAATTCAGATGACAAAAGGAAACATTTGATTGGCTGCTTCACAAAATAACAGCCTTTTACCTATGCCCTGGTCTGATCACCGCTATTCCTAATTTCAGCTCTCTAATCTCTCTCTATTTTTAGGAGAATCATTTTCAGGAATGTCAGCATTACTCCTAAATCAAGCAGTTTGCAGGATGACGTCTTCTCAAAAATGTATTGTATCATAAATAAAATCCATCGAAAATTCAAGTTTCAATCTGTTTGCTTTTGCTGCAGAATGTGAGAAATGTAATCCTAGTATTATTAATAGATTCACAGGGATCTCAAGTCTCCCTGATGTTCAAGGAGTCTCCTTCTTTTGGACAGCAGCTCCCTGATGTCCGCGAGTGAGGCACTTTCTCCTTGAAAGGTTTACTCTGAGTAAAGTCCTGAAATGAGACAGGAACCTCCCTGAAATAAGGTTTTGCAGGTTGGGATGTCTGGATTCATTTTGTGTATTTGGTGCAGCAAGCAGGGGCGTCCTGAGGCCGGGTGACACCCTGAGCCGAGAACGGGTGACACCCCACAGTGACATCATCGTGCATGCCTGGTCATCTAATTGATGCCTGCCAGCGGCCATCTCGGTGATGGACACCGGCAGAGAGAGGAGGGCACGTTCACCCGGTGGGATGAGTTATGCCGCCGGATCCCCTCCTCTCTCCTGACACTGTCGGACTCTCGGCCCATGACCAAGTGCCTGACTTTTAGAGAGGGTGACACCAAAATGACTGTCAGTCATTTTGGTGTCACCCTTCCAATGGAGTCACCTGGGTACGGGCCACACCCCCCGCACTCCCCATGTGACACCACTGGCAGCAAGCGACCACATTATAGATGTTGTCGCTTGCACAGACTTGGAAATATACAGGTGTACTTGGGTGTAGACATGTAAGCTACGGAAAAACTCGGTTTGGTTCAGATATTTCATTATTTCGGGTCTGAAATTAAATTCAATTCTGGGTTTCGGACGAAATCCAAAGTTTTGTTAGTTTCAGATAACTTAACGTATAAATATTCGTTGCGAATACCACAGGAAACCACATACAGATATTAATACTAAAGCTGAGGCTCCCAGACCCAAATGGCATTCTGATCCGAATTTCTGAATTGCATTCGGGAGCTCCCGAAAATCCAGTTTGTAACAGGAATAGATCTATCTATCAATGGGGACTAGGGTTGCCACCGTTTCTTCAAGCGAAACCTGAACACTCTAGCGACGTGCGCACATTGTTTTGGAAGAATGAGCCGAGGTTTATTCATATGTAAATATCACAGTCAGACTATTTTCAGTGGGGAGCCAGTAGTCCCTATCTTAATTCTGGTTGCCCCTGTCTGCCTGACATCTTGTGTCCGGGTTTCTGCTGCCATGAAACCTGGACACAGCATTCAAAACCCGGACTGTTCAGGCAGTGGCGCCACAAGGGGGCTGTGGCCCGCACCCGGGTGCCACCATTGGAGGGGTGACATAAAAATGATTGGCAGCCATTTTGGTGTCGCCCCCTCTAAAAAGTCGGGCACTGGGTCATGGACCGAAAGCTCGACAGTGTCAGGAGAGAGGAGGGGACCCGGCGGCATACCTCATCCTGCCGGGTGAACATCCGCTCCTCTCTCTGCCCGCGTCCATCACCAAGAGCACATGCA